ACCCGCAACCGTAAACCGCCATGCCGTTTGGTGCAGCCTTTCTCTTGGTACTTAAGGGGGTAGCCCCAAGACCCCCATCAGACTCGTTCCCTCTGCAAATTATGCAACTCTGCTGTTTCGTCCCCTGCGATCCAGTCGACCCTGGCCTGCTGCTGCTAAGCTTCGAAGCTTTCCCCATCATCCCATAAACCCCCCTCCCTCTTCTCCCCCTCTCCATCCTCTGCCCCCTCGCCACCCCCCCCAAAGAAAAGCTTTCCTTCATGCAATCATCCAGACTCCGACTCTTCCTTCGTCCCAACACCTTTCACCACTTCGTCCCACGCCAGCAGCAGCTACAACATCGCACATTTTCAACCGCCCTGCGCACCATGGCGGCCACCGAGTACAAGCTCAAGTCCGTCTCCTCCCTCGACCTTCGCCCTGGCGAGAAGCATGAGGTCGAGGTCGAGGGCATCGAGGGCGGCAAGGTCCTGCTCGTCAACGCCGGCGGCAAGATCCAGGCAGTCGGCTCAAAGTGCACCCATTACGGCGCGCCCCTCGTTAAGGGCGTCCTGACCACCAACGGACGCCTGACCTGCCCGTGGCACGGTGGTGAGCAGCCTTCCTCCCTCGGCGTCTTCTGCCGCCCTTCGGAACAGACACAACCCGCAGTGGCTTACCGTGTGACCTCTAGCCTGCTTCAACGCGAAAACAGGCGATGTCGAGGACGCCCCGGCCCTCGACGCGCTGCCCGTCTTCAACGTCACCGAGCGTGACGGCGCCGTCTACCTGACCGGCGAGGAGGCTGCCATCAAAGGCAGCCGTCGCAAGCCGAACTTTAAGTGCCGTTCTGCCGCCGGGGCTGGCACCGACAACAAGGTTGTCATTGTCGGCGGTGGCTCTGGTGCGCTCGGTGCCGTCGAGGGCCTGCGCAACGGCGGCTTCGACGGTCCCATCACCATCATCTCCAAGGAGGGCTACCTGCCTATCGACCGGCCCAAGCTGTCCAAGGCCCTGCTGACCGATCCCGAGAAGCTGCAGTGGCGCGACGCCGCTTGGTATGAGAGCGGTTCCGTCGAGATTGTCAACGACGAGGTGACCGACGTGGACTTTTCCGGGCGCACTGTCACCACCAAGAACGGAGGAAAGCACGCCTACGGAAAGCTTGTACTCGCCACGGGTGGCACGCCGAGGAACCTGCCGCTGCAGGGCTTCAAGGTCCTAGAGAACATCTTCACGCTGCGCACCATCCACGACACGAAAAAGATCACGGCGGCCATTGGCGACAAGGGCAAGAAGATTGTCATTGTCGGCTCGTCGTTCATCGGCATGGAAGTCGCCAACGCCACAGCCAAGGACAACAATGTCACCGTCATCGGCATGGAGAAGGTGCCTCTTGAGAGGGTTTTCGGCGAGAAGGTTGGCGCTGGCCTGCAAAAGGGTCTCGAGGGCAACGGCGTCAAGTTCTACATGTCGGCCGGTGTCGACAAGGCCGAGCCCTCGGCATCCGACCCTTCCAAGGTCGGTTCTGTACACCTCAAGGACGGCACGAAGCTCGAGGCAGACCTCGTCATTCTTGGCGTCGGCGTCGCGCCCGCCACGGAATTCCTGCAAGACAACAAGGTCCTCCGCCTCGAGAAGGACGGTTCCATCCAGACGGACGAGCACTACTCTGTCACGGGCCTCAAGGATGTCTACGCCGTCGGCGATATTGCGACCTTCCCCTACCACGGCCCGGGCGGAGACGGCAAGTACACACGCATCGAGCATTGGGATGTCGCTCAGAACGCCGGTCGCACAGTCGCCAGCCACATCATCAGCGCCTCGGTCAAGCAGGAGGTCTCGATCCCCATCTTCTGGTCGGCCCTGACAGCGCAGCTGCGATACTGCGGCAACACGGCCGGCGGTTGGGACGACGTGGTCATCCAGGGCAACGTCGAGGAGAACTCGTTTGCCGCCTACTACTGCAAGGGTGACACGGTCGTCGCCATGGCTTCCATGGCCAGGACCCAGCCATGGTACAGTCTGCTGAGCTGATGCGCCTCGGCAAGATGCCCAGCAAGGCCGAGTTTGAGAAGGGTCTAGATGTGCGCACCGTCGGGCCGCTGGAGGCATAAAGCGGCGCGCTCCATTGTGTAGTTTTGGTATAATCATAATATTCGCAATGTATTCGCCAGTGCGTTTGAAATAAAACCCAGAAGCAACACTTGCTGCAGCCCTTGGTGCATTGTGCTTTGTTTGTGATGCTTTGCCCCCCTTACTCATCCCCGCCACCCACTACTTCCACGCCAACGTCCTCGGCATCCGGCGGCGGAGACACGCTGTGCCGGCGCTCGAGTGTGTCGAGAACCGCCCGGCAGTGCCGCTCCTCCCACAGGAACGACCGCAGCGTAGTCCGCAGGTCCCGCCGACCAGCCTCGGTCAGCGTGCCCCCAGGCGTCGTGTCCCGCAGCGCCGTCTGGAACATGGCTGCGAACCACTGCGCGTTCTCGCTCCCGGCGGCGGCGCCGTGACCGCCGCCCGACCCGACGAGGCCCACAAAGGCCAGCCACAGCGAGAGGGCGCCGCGGCCGACGCCGGCGGCTGGCGGCTCGTCGAGCTCCGTCAGCAGCGCGCGCAGCCGGCAGCAGAGGATGGTGAGGAGCTGGCTCGTCGGCGGGACGTCGCGGCAGGGCGACGTAGAGGAAGATGTGGGCGCCCAGGACGAGGGCGCGGACCCTCTTGTCGGCGGCGTGCGAGGCCGGCGACGACGAGGCTGCGTATGAGGCCGCGGACGACGAGGACAAACGATAGTCGGCGGCCCCGGCGGCACCGCCGTAGAGAAAGTTGAGGATGCAGCTGTCCGCCGTGCCCATGAGGATGCGGATGCCGTCGGCGCCGACGCTGTCGCTTGTCTGCGCGCAGATGGCCTGCCGGAGCAGCGTGAGGATTGTGTGGACGCACGCGGCTGTTGCCGAGCCGTTGGCCTCCTCGATGCCGAGGTCGGACAGGGGCGGGACGACGGCTTGGTGGAGAATGTGCGCCGGGAGGACGACCTGGTCGAGGGTGTGGAAGGTCGGGAAGAAGGGGATGCGTCCGAGGCCGGAGGCTACTTGGACGTCGACCCTGGGAGTGGTCAGTGGGGTTCAGGATGTGACGAGGGCGCCTCCTTTTTCTTCTTGCTCACCAGTTGATGCAACGACAGAGGATGTAGTCGTGCCGAATGGTGTCTGGGCCGCCGCTTTCCTGGACCATGTCGTACAGGCCTCTTAGATGAATGTCTGCTGCTTCAAATTCGCCTTGGAACGCCTGGGGCAGGTGATGAGTAGAGGCCGAAGAAGGGCTTGGGATCAGGAAGACGTACCTCGACGTTGGCGAGAGTAGCGACGGCGGCCAGGACCAACGTGTCTCGGCTTGCCACTCTCGAAGACGCCGTGGTCTGGAGGCGACTGCTGATGGCTCGCATGGCCTCTCCCTTTTGGCGGTAGCCCTCAATCTGGAGCCTGGCGTCGAGGGAGGGGAGACTGGCGGTCCAGAAACCCGCGGCCAAGGCGAGCGTTGCACGCATGACGAGCTCGCTCTGCATGGCGTAGGGGAACCATGGCCGCTGCTTGTCCACCGTCGTCAGGTTCAGACTGAAGCCGTTGACGACTGAGGGGCCCGGAAGATACACCATCAGCCTCACACATCGAGGACACCAAGACAGACATTCGGGCTCCAACGTACAATACTTTGCAAGAGAGTCAATCGTCGGACTGCTCGGAATCGGCAGGCTGTTGAAGGGATCCATGACGTGGGCCTTTAGCCGCGGGACCGACTTGAAGGGAGTCATCTGACCCCTTGATGCGTTGCTGCTCTTGGCGCGGTCATTCTAGAGCGTTTCCGTCAGTTTTTTTTTTTTTTTTTTTGGTTTTTTTGGTTTTTTTGGGAGGTCGCTGTGAACACGCCCGCTCCATTTTCGGAACGTAGGTGCAAGCGCTCATACCTTGAACCAGGCAGTCCAGTCTGGCTGCTGGTAAGCCCGCGTGCCCGCTTTCCGCAGAGCCTCGGCCCCAGACTGCGCGCCCGCGAGTCGAAAGCGTCCCCTGAGGTCGGCCCTGCGGCTCGTGGCGTCCTGGGCTTGACGGTTTGTCTTGTCGGTTTCCGAGCGGGCCTGGGCGCCTCGCTGCAGGCCCTGCTTGATGGCATGGCTTCGCGCTTCCTTGTCGGCGGGTTGGAGCTTCCCGCCCGACGTGTCCGAGGCGATGAATCTGAACTCAGGCATCCTGAAAGACACGCATGGCCGGGGGTCGCCACGGGCGATGGGTTCTTCGGAGTGGTGGCTGATCAAAGGCTTGCATTCTTCTTTTCCGTCTCCAGCAGATGTGAGGCTCAACCAGCGCGTGTGCAGTTTCCTGTCTTTCCAGAAAGAAGTTTCTTCCCAGAAAGAGACGTCGCCGAAGCTTCCAAAGTCGGATACACAGAAGGCACGTATGTGGCTTGCGAATGCTGAGGGATATCTACATCAACATTGACGTGGGTGATCCGCACGGGAGCGATTCATGGGGCCGAAAGCTAAGTCGGAGCGGCCGATGAAGGGTGGCTGTCGAGTTGGAGGCGCGTGGCTGAAATGGTGTCAACCGTGTCCAACGGCGATAACGGTCCTCTTGGCGCCTTCGTCTGGTTTGTTCGAGCAAAACGCAGGTGAAGTGGGGAATCCCGGCAGCGTCGGCCGTAGCAAGAGGGTGACAAACAAGGTCACACTCATCAAAGGTGAGCTCACATTGAACCATTTTACATCGGCACAAAATTATCAAAAATAATATTTTTGTCTCTGAATACATCGCCAATTGTTCAGTGGGTAGAATTTCAGAGCATTTGACCGAGATGAGAGGTGTTGAGAGGGTTCTGAAGCTAGGGATCTGTCTGGATGATGCCTGTGTTTGGCGAATTCGGAGTGCGGCTTCATCTGTCACCTCTTGCTTAGGTAAGAAGCACGTGATGATGCCTTCTCATGCTGCTTTGCTCCTCGTGCTCCTTGGCGCCTTGAAACTCAGCCCCCTGACGACGTCCCTTCACCGGTGCCTCACCGAGTTATACCAGATCTGCGTCATGTTGTCGTCGTGGACTTGGCCATCTCCCCGCTGCAGCATATCCATGACAGAGAGGCCAACACATCAATTTATGAAAGACAAATCGGCTGGCCGTTTGCTCACACCCCCGACAGCCGACAATCCACACCATCTGACTCTGCCCCAAACCGCACCCCTCTCTCTCCCTCCTGATCGCCGAACGACGCCCCATCGTCGCCGAACTGCACGTCTGCCCCCATATTCCTTTACAGCACCTCCAAACGTCACACGTATAGGGTGGCCCGGTACCCTCAATAAGGCAGACACATTCACCCCGTACAACCACAAGACGGGCCCAGCAGATCTTCCCACGACGGCGATCGAGCACCCCGTACCACCGGCTAACCTCTCCCTTCCTTCTTCTCTCTCGATCGCCTTTGCCCCCCCGAGGCAGCAGCGTCCCGTGAGGGTGATACGAGCCCACAGTGTCACCGATGCGGCACCAATGCCATGATGCGGCACCTCATTGGCAACAACAGACGAGGC